TCAAATTTGCTTAGTAATCCGTCTATAACCTTAATATTCCCCATTTGATGATCAACTATTATTCTGTTTTGTCGTTAAATGTCATTTGAATGGGTTGAATTCTACTCTCTTAAAATTAAATCAACCCCTCAGAACATCAAACAATAATCGTTTTCTCACTCCAAAGTCAATGTCAGAAATTTCAGTGACAGGCTGTGACTTGTACAGTTCAACCATTTCAGAAGTGAGCATTGGAGTCAATCTTAATTCTTAGCAAACAGTTTCAGATTAAACTAATCTACACAAAATCTCTGAGCTAAACATTATAACTTTTCCACCTAAATCACTGTTATCATCATTATGATATTCACTGTGTTTAGTCGTTGCATTCAGTTGTTCTTTTTACTGAAAACCCGTCACAAATCCAAATAAATGACCCGATTTCCCCTTGAAAGACCTCATCAATTTCATTCCTTTTATCTTCGAAAATAACAAACATCAAATAGAACCATAATAACGAAATTAATTAATGGATTATTTCATCAATTAGTGTCAAACTTGCAACTGTCATTTATATTGGTATACAAAAAAAACATAGAAATGACCTTAAGAACCAATTGAAATGATAAGATTCAAATATAATCAATTATTCATTGCAGATATATATATATATATATATATATATATATATATATACTAAGTTATTGAGTCCCGTTTGTCATCGATAGTTCTTCGGTGTCCAGGATTATTCTTTTTAGTCAAATACTTATATGACAAGTAATCTTGATCATATTTAACGTATATTTTGTGGAATAAGTGAGTATTTGAAAACGTTATTCTTGTCTATAACAAATGATGTTTTATTTTAACAAGAATTAAATAGATTTATGATAAACCATCTAATTTAATATCAGTGTAATACTTATTGAAAGTTTAACAATCGAAAAATATCTTCTACTAATGAAAGTTGAAAATCTGTTAAATAGGATATTTACTTTATGGTCTATAGGCAATATAGTCATCTTGAGACTAACTTACTGTATAATGAATATAGTCGTGGATGAACACTGTTGATAAGCCTTTATCTGAAACAAAACAAATGCTCAGCACTCTTTAGTTTCCAGTGACTTTTAGTTCATATCTAACTTTATTTATTTTCGTATGGTTAAGGCTTCAATAAACCTTAGTATATGCCTTTTTACACTATTGTACAACACCACAAAAGCCGAATTAAGATCAATCTTATGACCTGTTTCAAATTGCACAAATGACGCTATTGATGATGATGATGTTAGGTTGTTAAATAAAACATTATTGGAAAATGGCTATCCCCTTAAATTCATAGATGGAAAGTTCATGGTACAGTGAGACCTACTATAGCCTTGACAGAAAAATGCCTGTCTACATCACATTACCATATAGAAGTGATTCAAATAGCCTTTTATTGAAACAAAGGATTTAATCAGTCAATAACAAGACGTATTACGCAGCAAAGGTCATTAACAAGAAAACAACAAGGTTCATGCTTCATCAAAAACCCAAAATGCATGAAAATGATTGCGTTACATCCCACAGTGTTTACCAACTTAAATGTGTGTGTGGTCACACATACATAAAATACATAGGGTATGTGAACATGTACTTACAGAAACAGATAGAATCAAATGACCAATAGGAGTAGAAGATAAATATCCATCATCCTCTATTGCCAAACATACAATCGAAGCAGGCCAGAAGATTGATCTTAACTCAGCTTTTGTGGTGTTGTACAATAGTGTAAAAAGGCATATACTAAGGTTTATTGAAGCCTTAACCATACGAAAATTCAAACCCCCTTTGTGTATTCAAAAATAGTTTGTTCTCACCTTAAACCTGCTCTGGTAATTTACATAAGCTTATTATCCAGAGTGATGAGGTTTCGAATTGTTTTCACATTATTATTTTCCTTATTATCCTTGTCTCCTCTTTTCCTCTATTGCTTTTTATATGGCTATTCTTAACAAATATGTAATGTGTGATCAGATTGTTCGAAATGTATTCCGCCAATATATCTCATCACATAGTTCTGATAATCTTTATCTTCTTATCACACTATTGAAATTCATCAAATGGGATTAATTTGCTTCATGACAATACTATTTTCTTTTAAAGTTTAAAGTGTCTTATCGTTAAGTTGTTACTATAATTTACTAAGTTTCCATAGACATTGATCCTTCCTTGTATGTATATGATGTTATTATATCTGTTCATATATTGAAAATAGGCAACATCTCAATTCATCCTTTTCTCTATATCTTTTAACTAATACCTTCTAAAGAATAGTTTTGTTATTCTTCTTTTTTCAAAATACCCATCAAAAGCTCCTTCTTCCTGTTTTTTTTTCCTTTTCTCAATCAAAAGAATTCTTGACATTTTCTCTTATTATTTCTTTAAATTATCTTATACATTCCAATTTACATCTGAATTATTCATCTCTTATTATCATTGAATTTGACATTTCAATAAATGATCATAGATCAAATAAAATAATCATTATCATTACAATAAAATGTCATATTGCATTGAATATGATTCTTGATTTTAATCGAAATAGTTGATCCTTTTCTTCAATCTTAATAATATGAATACATTCAGTGCTTTTATTAATTCATTATTGTTTACAATATAATAAAAGAGTATTTCGATTAATTATCATAAGTTACCATTGATAAATTATCTTTGTTTAAATTTGTTTAAGCGCTTTTTTCAAAATATTCCATAAACATCATTACATCATTCACTTTCATAGTTTATAGATAGTTTCATTCTTTCTTACATATTTTGTAACTATTTCTTTTTTGTTTATTTTAAATTGACATTATTTGCTTAATGACTAAAATTCTGATAAGATCGAATAGTATTTGTATTCTAATATGAAAGCTTCCAACCTAGTCAATGTTTATTCTAGATTTGATATAAGATTTATTCCCGAATGTTTAATTCCGTCTGACAGTATGTCAGATGAATTTTGAAAAACATAGAGAAATAAATAAAGTAGAAAGACTAACAAGGGAATACAGGACAAGAAGATCATATAATTCGGGAGTTATAAACAAGATTTATCTGCATCGCGGAGTTGATGTTCATACTACTGAATTGTAACCTAGTAGCTGGAATCAAGTTGAATCCGGTTGACGAGACCCAAATGGGAAAAAACGTACGTCCTAAATTCCAATACTAACCACATTTCATCTATTATATAAACTTGTGTCACAATGATCATATCGAAGAAATTCTCACAGGATACACATATGTTAACTAAAGTCGATAAAATTTCAATCAAAATACTAACAACGGATTTATTCAAACTATTACAAATTATACGGAAAAAAAATATGAAAGAAAAGTAGTCAGGAGTTTGACAAGTACAATTTTAACTTTTATCATTGAAAGTGAATATTAGGAAATTTGTATCTATCAGACTAAGGTATTGTTTGACTTGTATCTTCCATTGAGGTTTAAGACTGCAATTGATCAGTCTGTTATTGGCATATGTGCATACTGTGAGTATGCCTCAATATTGCCTTAATTCACTAACTGTTTGTAAGCAATGATTGATAGTGGGTAGCAGTGGAATCCAGGACGCGCGTTTCATCCTATTTGGAACTCGTCAACTGGATGTACCACTGCTAGCCACTATCCATCATTGCTTATCAGACTAAGTTTTCCAAACCAATGTTATTCACCTAATAAATTATTATTGAGATAAATTTCTTGTGATACTGATGGACTGAGAGAAACGAATTCTTATTTCTTGTGTATTTTTGTAGTAACTAACATGATATTTTCATTAGATTGGTTAATTAGAGGCTTTGCTATTGAAATACCTTTTACTTTAAAATACTTCTTACTGTTGTATACACCTAAGCTATAAATCCTCTCCACCATCTCGAAATCATATGAACGTAATACGCTTCTCATTGTTCGAAAATGGGAGCATTTTGCCAAAAGGCAGGCTTCCACCCGGGAACAACTGTATTTTGTCCACGAGTATCTTCGCCAGCATTTTCTACCAACAAGTGTAAGATACAGGCCTCCAATCAGCTGCCCTTTGGGATGGAGAATAGCTGAGCAAAGTATAAGAAAACGGTACACCCAATGATAATGCATGCAAATTACAGGATTTGTAAATACCAACACGTCAAAGAGGACCAAAAGATGAAGCTACAAAGGACACCCACGTCAGAACATTTGAAAATCTTGACTACAGTCATCGACATATCATACAAACGACACAGAGAACAAAAAAGAAACACCCTAAAGAAGAAACTAATCAAGATCTCACAACCAACCACACGACCAAAACATCCAGCTCAGAGAACAAAACTCCATCAAAATCATGCACTTGAGCTATAAATCTTCTCCACCATCTCAAAAGACACTGATTCATTGACTGAAAGGTATCATACTTACCATAAGATATTAACACTATGGCTTCAGTCTTAAATAATCTTGCATGTATAAACATTATTAAAAGGACTCTGCATTTACTCTTCAACTAAGATTCATAAAATCACTCAGATAGATGTGCCTACGTTGATTCGAATCTTCTAGATATAGATAGTTTCACGCCTATATATTTTGATGGAGTTTTGTTCTCCGAACTAGATGGTTTGGTCGTGGAGATTTCATCGTTCTTCTGAACGATAACAGTGACAAATTTAAGGTCAATAAGAACCAATCAACGTCGAGGTGTACAGAACAATCTGTGAAACGCAGATGGAGAAATTCGGACATTCCACTTCTATCTGAAGTTTGTGCTGATGATGTCGTTCAGAAGAACGATGAAAGCTCCACGACCAAACCATCCAGCTCAGAGAACACAACTCCGTCAAAATCATCCACCTGAGCTACAAATCTTCTCTACTACGCCTACATATATAATAAACTAATAACAAATGGATTATGGTCATATGAGAAAGCTTTTCACCTCCAAATTCCCTTATTATGTAATCATGTTTTTTTTAATTTTTTTAGAAATCATGACCATTAATGTAGAAAATGAACCAAATTCAATCAAACAGGAAAATATTATAGTTCCATCATTTATTACAACAACTGATGAAGATAATGAGAATCTACTCAATAATAATAATAATAATAATACACCATTAAAATCCGATCGAGAATCAAGGTATCTATGATAGAATCAATAGAATAAACAAATTAAAAAATTTTTTCTATTTTATAGATCTTGTCAATCAAGATTGCTCAAACGAAATAGATCAATAAATAGTGTAACATCTCGTCAAAATTACAATGAAACAATATGAATAATTCAGAAAATCAATTAATTATACCAAATTCAATTGGTATACCACATATTATTGGAAATGTATTACAAGAAATAATGATAGTTTACAATCATCAATGAAAACAGATATACATCGAATAAGATTTCCATCAGTTGATAGAATTCCATGTAGATTTAATGATATAATCATTTAAAATATAATAATATATTCAGAGAAGGGTTTTTTTGGATATTATAGTAATTTTATTCGTTGAATTCATGAATCAATTGAAGTTAGATCATCATGGAAAACCTAGATGTATACTGATGGGGAATCTTAGAGTAGGATAAAATGGACGTCTAATCCTTCCAAGTTTTCTATGATGATCTAGCTTCAGTTAACTCATGAATTCAACTATTAAAAGTATAATATTTATTTACGAATGAAATATTATTTGTAATCACTTAGTTAATACATTATTAAACAATAAGTGAGTCCCAGAGTGAACATCAACTCTCTGAGATGCAGGTACATGCAACTGACGAGTTCCAAATAGGATGAAACGCGCGTCCTGGATTCCACTGCTACCCACTATCAATCATTGCTTACAAACAGTTAGTGAATTAAGGCAATATTGAGGCATACTCACAGTATGCACATATGCCAATAACAGACTGATCAATTGCAGTCCTAAACCTCAATGGGAAGATACAAGCCAAACAATATTAAGTGAATAAGTGAATTAGAAAAAAATTATTTTGGATAACTGATTATTGAATAAAACAACGTTATATTCTTTCTTTGAAAACAACGTTTCCAAATGTGATTGAATATTTACATGCAGTTGATTGGCGTACACATTTGATTATCGTGATATTTTGAAAGAAACGTAGTTGTAAATAATCTCAAATTGACAGCAAACAATTACTTAATCATATTTTAGTGTAAGGAAACAAAATTCACACCAGTTGCATAAGCTATCAGTTATTTGAACTATATATTTTAGTCGGTAACGTATTGGTGTTTAAAGGGAAAGCTAACGAGCTCAAATACTAATTTGAACATCAGAAGTGAGATGTTGTAGATACAATTAGCTAAAGAGTTCAAAATTTGACCAACAGTCATTATAAATGAAACATAGGGACGTTTTCAGTATGCCTTTTCTTCCTGTATACACTGATCTGGTTTAGAAACATTTGATGTTAATGATCTTTGTAAAATAAATTATTCCTTTCTGATCATCTGTAGGTGTTTAAAGTTTAGCATCAGAGGATAACTTCAGTATTAAATGAATTAATCAAGCTTAATGGAATTAAGATTATTTTATCATTCAGGTCTAGAATGTCTGCGACTAGAAATAAAAACTATCTACTGAACTACCACTTATCATGATCGCGAAAACATTAAAATTCCAATTTCAGGAAATGCTAAAAACTCTTAGAGAGTTTTTAAATGCAACCCATCTAGGGTCAATCTTCAGTCGATAAACATAACTATAGAAATCAGAGGTCAGTTGGAAAGAAAACAGATAACAGGAATCAAAAGATATATGAACATAATGAATCCTGTAAAAGATTGTAATCTACATGAACTAATTCAACATTGGTGGGATAGAAAAATTATTCATTTCCATTTTAGTATAGTCTTTGACAGAGCAGTAAACATCACATTGTCTAAAGTATTAACCTAACTTGTAAATCTCACTCATAAAGAAATGTGATCATTCCGATTTTTCAAATCTATCTACTATCAAATAAGTAGTAATGATATAATTTTTATCCTAATTTTGTTTTAGATTCAAGTACTAAACGAACTTCAAGAATTTCAACATCTACATTTTCAAGTAATCGAAGTACAATAAGTAGTAATGCTCGATTTGATATTGATGAGGTATGTACTGAGTTTAAAATAATTTGTTATTCTACTTCAGACAACCCACTGATTTAAAATATTCGTAGGTAAAATCACAAATTATTCTTAGACAACCAATGAAAACCTTGCAGCAATGTAAAGTCGTTCGTTCTATCGTGGTACCCTTCAGCAGTGAGCAACCGATTCCCCATCTAGAATCGAACCCAGAACCTTTGTCTTGCAAGCAAACGCCGAACCCCTATAAAAATGAGCAGGCATCCAAAGCATTTGCTTACGAAACTGAAGGACCCGGCTTCGAATCACATATGCAGAGTCGTACATTTCCACAGCTGAGGAGCTCCATACCAAGACGAAACTGTCAGCCAGTGATTCCAGGTTTCGATGTTACCTAACTAAATCAGTTCTGATTTGAAATATTCGAATTTGATAACCTCCACAAAACCCTATACGAATTTAGATTTGTACTGATTAAAATCCAGAAACTAAAACAAACAACTCTATTATTTTCAGTAATTTATCAACTGATACTAAACTCAAGATGGCGACTGATTTCTAATTAAACAGTTTTTGTATGTCACTTACTAAGAAGAACGAAGCAACATGACATCAATCCGGAAAAAATATCATTATTCGATGAAGTGGGGTTTCATGTCAACTTGATAAAATATTCGGTTTATAGTGTCAACTTTTAGTAGTCCTATATTACAATCAAAAATCTAAATTATATCAGTTTTATCATGATATTTTCAGTTGATTCAATTAATAACAAGATATAAATGATTCCTGAACATTATTGTCAATTTGATTTTTCGGTTTTGAATTAATCATTATTTTCTAAGAAAAACATTTTCAAACGTTTTCTTGCCGAACACCCTAACTATGACCTTAAACAATTCATTAAGTACATAATAATTTTTCTAATCAATAAGTGACTAGATACCTTTAATGAACCCAGTCAGGTAATCTACTAACCTACACGTAGACAGAAGTTTACAACTTTTAGATCCCATAACAAACTGTGTCATTTAATGAACAAATGAGCTAGATTTGGTTCCTAAGCTCTTCTAGTAACTCCCAGGGTAAATCTACACAGAGACTCAACACAAGAGAAAAAGCGCGAAATGTGGAAGAAACGCTTTACTCCAAAGGTTCGTTTATGTACATAAAATTTAGGGTTTTTATGGTACTTTAGATGTTCTTGGTTTCCTGAAAGTTCTGAATACTACTAAACATAGTGGCAGTATAGATAATCATCCAATCAGAAACTCGATATGTGACTTTTGACTTTCTAGATGTTTCTGGCAAAACTTATATTGAACGCTGATTGAATAAGATGTTTCTTAGCGTTTTCAGACCATTTTTGACTTTCTTCGAGGAGTTTCCTGGATCGCCGCAACAGTTTTACAAAACAATAAAAAGATTTCAATATTACCGAAATATAATCCTGGTTAATAAAATATCATTAATAGTATACCCAAATATTTTTATTATATGCACCAATCCTTGACCTCTAGACCACTGCGCCGGCATCCGACGGTGTTAATGTCCACACAATTGAGTGACACACCCATCGTTGGATGCAGCCTCAGTGGTCTTGGGGTTAAGCGCCCACCTGCGAGACGTGACCGTGGATTTACAGTGCTGAGGAGTCCTATAGTAGGATGGAACCGACGTCCAGTAGTCTAGCTTTAATCGACTCATGATCTCAACTATTAAAAAAATGTAGAAAATGCTCCCTATTTTTTTTCTTAAAATTGTAATTCATATTTTACAAAATGAAATCTAGAGTGAATAATTGGGAAAAAAAGAAGTTTGATAATTGAATAAATGTAACATCTTCATCTTTAACAAAACAACATTCATCATTATTAAATTAAAATAATTCATTCATTCTCATATTTTCAGATTATTTTTACTCTTCATGAAAAAGCAACTCATAATTATCGTGAATTACGTCATAACTTTATTATAAACGATCCAATGGGTGTAGGAAATTTACGAAGGTAATCATTCTATTTTATAGGAATATGCGAATTTATAATATTTCATATTATTTGTATTCATTTAAAGTACAAATAGATGGAGAAAAATGTATCCTTTCAACAGTTGAGATCATGAATCAATTGAAGCTAGACCAACATGGAAAACCTGGAAGCACCGGAATGCCGTTTCGTCCCACCGTGGGATTCCTCAGCGGTGCGCATCCACGACCCCGCATCGCGGGATTCGAAACCAAGAACTACCAGTCTCGCGCCAGGCGCTTAACAACTAGACCACTTAGTCGGTATCCAACGGTGTTAATGTCTTACTTCAACTAATCCACAAAATTGGGCAACACACACACATGACTGATAGGTCCTGGGTTCGAATCCCGCGAAGTGGGGTCGTGGACGATCACTGCTGGGGAGTCCCACAATGGGACGAGATGGCCGTCCAGTGCTTCCAGGTTTTCCATGTTGGTCTACCTTCAATTGATTCATGATCTCAACTGTTGAAAAATGTGTCCCCTTTATTTTTTAGCTTGAATATTCAATTTATTCAGAGAGAGAAGTTTGCGAATGGATCTTAGCTAAGTAAAGATAACATTGGAGAACTGTTCAAATAATCTACACTGAGATATGAAATCGATCTTTTTTAAAAAATATGAATATTGATTTTATATGATACTCAAGTATGATTATGTGTTACTGGGAAAAACGCTGAAATTTTGAATAGACTAAGAAATTTCAAAAGTATGACATTTAGTTCATTCACCAATCAATAGATGTATTTGAATAAGCTCAAACTATCATCCAATAAAAGTATGATGAACAGATAAAGGTCATGAATCACTTCGGGGAGTTACCGTCAGTCATTAGGTACGGTCTGTCACATATTATGGGACAGAATAAGATTTAAGTTATCTGTCAAGAAACATTACTAACTCACTTTATCAGTATAGAGTTGTGGAGATTGTTGAGTTTAGATTGATATCATGAATGGATCAATGTTAGACCACCATTGGAAACCACTGAAAACTGTCGTGTGCTTCCATGTTTTCAATAATCGTCTAACAATGATCCATTCATGATATCAGTCTAAAGTCACCTAAGTTTTAAGATTATGTTGATACTTTTGTCTAGAAAAGTAATATTGGCTTCATTATCTAACTACTCACGCTACTACTA